ATTTATTTATTTATTTATTTATTTTTTTTTCATTTTTAGTTTCATTTTTTTTTCATTGGTCAATTAGTTTATTAAATAATAATATTAAAAACTCTTAATTATTCACAATTTCATTTATATCACAGACGTATTTTCTCAAAAGTAAAACCCTAAACGCGTTTGACTTAAAGCCTTACAAATATCCAAGGAAGAGCCGGAGCTGATTAAGGACTTATTACAAACTCAAATGCACATTTGGACGCACTTACGGAGCAACAAGTGTGGAAGGTAGGTAGGATCATATATTGAGCCTGGTTGGGTAGTAAATTAATCAAGAGGCAGCCGAACAGACAGAGAGTAGATTAGTGTTGCAAAACGTGAAACTTGACAAACAAAGCTCAGACACTGGAACAACATTGAAATGAAATTAAATACCCAAATGTATATGGAGCTCATCAAGCAGTCAACAAAGACCCAACTAGCTGCATACCACCCAGATATTACCGAAATGTGTCGTATTTTGCAAATCTAAAATGCATTTAGAGCACACGCACACACGCATAGTCGCAAGTACACACACACACACAGCTGACCAAATTTGGATTTCGAAATTTACATGGAAATTATTTTGGCCATTCGACACTTTGTCATTTAATATGTGAACAGCAGTAGATGCCAGTACAACAATCTGGCCTGTAATTCGGCTGTAATGGACTCGTTTGGGCGCCAGCTAGCAGATTTAATTATGGTGCAAATATTCTCTAATTAAATTCATGTTGCATTCGATTCAGACCACAGGCACTGTAAGAACCGAGCACACTGAGCGCAAGGCCACTCACACACATGCACTGCTAAGAAAGGAGGGGTGGAAATACAATAAGCTGTGCTTGGAGTACTTTAAATAACCCAATTGCTACCTGAGCGTAGTCAAAGCCGGCACTCATCGTCCTTCAGCTGACAGCGACAGGAGTGAGCGCAAATTTGAAAGCGGCTCGACCAGCCGTTGGCTTTCTTGTTAGCTTGTTCGCTTGTTGGCTCGATGGCTCGTTGGCTCGTTGGCTCGTTGGCTCGTCGGCTCGTTGTCTCGACAGGAGGCATAGCGTCGCTCAACTGTGCCACTTAATGCGGCAGCTGAACAAAGAGCCGCATGCAACACCGCCCACAACGTGGGGCATCGAGTGCGAAGCGAATGGCAGTGCCCATAATTGACAAACATCGAGATGCGACCTTTTAATTTTTTGTTCCTTTCAAATTGAACGGTCTGGGGGATGCTGGGGCATGTGGCAGCTGGGCTCGGTGTGCCGGCACTTAATTGACCATGACAACGAAAAATTAGCATTGCTTCTCTTTGTTAAATATACAGCACAAGATGCCTTGCCCTGCCTTGTATTAAATGTATGCCGCAGTTTCAAGTGCCAGCAGTCGCCTCTGCCTGCCACACGATTAATGGCCAATTCCACAATTTGTCTGCCAGCCGGACCAGAATTTGACTTTCATTTTCTCATTGCCTCTCCGAAAGTCAAAGGCATGTCAAAAATTGATGACTTGGAGTGGGCGTGATAATTACAATTTGTTACAGGCGGCACAGCCTGGGGATATTTAGATATTTAGTATATAAGGCAGACATATAATCAGGAAAATGTGAGTCAGTTATCATTTGATTTGAATAATGGTTGCTGGAAGAGCAGAAGAAATAATAATATATGTTTTTCTTATACATAAATTCAATGTTTCTAGGAATAAGATGTGAATATATATACAAAATAACTGTATGCTTGAACAGCATGAAGAGTTCCAATTGGAGGTCCAATTGGCTAGCTGAACTTGTGGAGAGTCTTTGTGTTTCTTTTATATATTTTTTACTTTTTATTATTTAGTATTTTTTATTTTTATTCATTTTTAATTATTTTATTATTGTTACATTGTATTTGTTTTATGTATTTTTTTTTATATTTCGCTTATTTTTTGATTTATATATATTATGTTTGAGTTTCAGATACGAATAATATGACTTTTCACTAGCTTGTGAATTATCATTGATTGCTTAAATAACATAAAAGCAAAAAATAAAATAATTAATAATAACAAATACAATATAACTGTAATTTTTGATAATTCAAAAAACAACTTCCAGAACATTCAATTGTTCGACATTTTTTATTTTTTTATTTTTGTTGCAATTTCGTTTTCAATTTAATCAACATATTTGTTTTTATTTATCTAGGCATTTCCTTCTGGTTTATTCGATTGCAGCTCAGATGATAGGATATAATATCATTTGTTGAATTTGGACAAAGCACGTAATGCCATAAAACTAATTTGTGTAAATTTAATTTGAGCTTACGGTTGCGTCGGCTCGTGGGTGGGCGGAATACAATATTTACAAGCTCTAAGCAAACAATTTGCATGTTCGACTGCCTGTGGGACGGCGTTGACCTTTAAACACCTGCGCAAACACAGAGAGCCCGAGCCCGCCCCTAGCCTGCCCCACTGCCAGCCCGTTGGCATAAATTGGTGGCATTTGTTTTTCAGCTTTGTGTTAAATACACGACGCGGTCACACCTCATGGCCGAATGCCTCGAGGCTCGAGTCGTTCGGTAAATATTTACGCAATAAAATTTAATGCGTTTCCTATGGACGAGATGCTAATGGCCAAACAGCGGGCGGCTGTTGGGGGCGTGGCGCACTGATAATTACAAATAAAAACATGCACGCAGCTCTCGAGCACGCAATCCAAGAAAAAAACATACAATACATAATAAAAATCAAATAAAGCAAACCACAAATTATGGAAATACGAACGAAATACGAAGCAGCAGCAGTAAAACCAATTAGGCTGCTCGACTTACCCGACAGGGCAAATAGGCGTGTGTGCCGATCTGCGTGGTCACATTCGATGTGGCAAAGCCGTCCAGATAGGGCTCCACCAGGACCCCAGTGGCCGACAAGGCGCCCACCTCGGGCAGCAGGGATGACACTTGAGCCGCCGGTAAGGCCAGAGCCGCTGACGAGGATGCCTCCACCGCTCGCTCCTCGAAGCCAGCTGTGACTGCGGCCGTGGCAGTTGCCGCCGCCTTCGTTTGTGGATGCGATGCTGAAATTGATTTGGGACAAAGCAGAAAAACCAAATATATACACATATGTATTTATGTATATGTATAAGTTGTATTCGTGTTAATCGAAATGACAATTTGAGCCACGATTTGAGCCACGGGCGGAGCCTTTGTCACGTACAAAGCACACGTGAGATAAGCGCTTCAATAGGTGTGTGATTAACAGCATGTGGGCGGTGCAGGTGGGCTGAGGCTGGAACTGTATTATTCGATGTTGTAGCTGTTCGTGCCACATTAAAGTTGCATGAGCATAGCTTAACAAGAATTTCACACAGCTGCTCAATTGTTAGGTGTGAAGCATTTCAATTATACATGACGTAGTTTGGGCTCTAAGGCTTATATATTATATATACATATTTATATATATATACGGTTAGTTAATGAAATACCAGAAACAACTTGCTGTCTTAAAGCGATATCTCGCAAGGGAGAAATATTCAATGAGTAATATCAGTATGAATACTGAATGTGAATGTTAACATGTGAATAAAATGTAATTTAAAAGGCCAGCAGTTTACCTTAATTATATATTAATATTTGCTTGAATATGGAGATTTCGACTTCAGATTTCAATGGAAATGCATTTCAGCATGCTTCCCTGAATCAATGCGAACTTAAACTATAATGGACTGTGGGGATCTGTCATTACTCTTTTGTTTCCAATTGATATATTCGATCATATATAATCACTCGCACTCTCATTACTAGATTACTATATATATATTTATATTTCAACTGTAAGTAAAACATATTCGAAAGCAATGAATATGTTAGCTAACTAATAGTCCTTGATCATTAGTAAGATCTAATATAGTGATTCTGATGAATTATGCTTATATGTATATAATTAATCAATTAAACCAATTTATTCCATTCCATCACATAAACAGTTTATGTATGTATTAATTTTTTATGAGCTGTGCTATATCTTCATCCACAATAAATCAATGCAATTAGAAGAGATATTGCTTTAATCCAATTTTTCTACCCTAGTCAAATTTCTTGACAGAAATGAATAAATAATTTCGTGGCACGTTTTATGCGCCAGTCGAAATTGACAAACTGCGCTTGCTTGCGCTTTATTAAGACCCCAATGCCACTGGCAGCAATAGCAACAGCAACAGCAACAGCAACAGCAACGGCCACGGCAATAACAATGTCAACAACAACAACAACAACAGCAGCAACAACAACATTAATTGACGATGTGGCAAATATGCGCTTGGCGCTTATTCACAGAGAACCCGCAGCGCGTCACCTAACAAAACCGCCAAGTCAGCCAGGCAGACAGGAGAGGACTTGCCACACCTTCAAAATCGCACACACACACACACATACACGCATACAGACACTCATACACAGAGAGAGCAGCTGCAGGTGACGGGAGATGGCGTGTCTGTGCTATTGTTTGGTGGCGACTGTCAGTTTTTGGTTTCGAATTAATCAACGCCGTTTAAGTGGCTTCCACGCGTCGTCACCACTCAGCAGCAACAACACCACCAAGACCATAAGCAGCAGCAACCACCCACAATGCTGCTGATTTTTGCGCTGCAAACTTTTTTAATGAATGGCGTTCATTAAAATTGATTGTTGTTTGCGGCAGCGCCACAGACGATGATTTGGCAATACGCACTCAACCACCCAGCCCACAGAGAGTGGGTCCAGGGTGGTGCTTCGATGGTGATTCGATTGGGCACAGCGCACACAGCCAGCTACGCATGTTATTTGTCGAAATCGCCAATTAACTGGCAATTGCTCCAAATGGAATGTTTCGCTGCGTCCGGAGCTCGCCTCGTGCAGCATTTGACTTCAGTTTTGACGTGCGCCAAGCCACTTTACGATATAAATTAATTTCTTGGTAATACAACGGGGCCGCCCAGTGGGACAATTGGATTTTGACTTTGACGCTACCGCTGCCTGCAGCTGACAGTTTCAGTTATTCGCGTTGTTTATAAATTTGCGTATCGCCAAATCGATTATTTGCATTTCAAATTGAAATCGGTTTTCGCCCTGACCCCAATGCGCAGTCAGATGGAAATTTTCGGAAAATCTCCACAAAAGGGGCAACAAAATGTGATTTTCTATCAATTTTTGGGTGTTTTTTGTTTTATTCCCAACATCTTTGATTGCATATTTGAAACTGTGCACTGAGCCAGGGATTAAACTAATTGAAAACCAAAATATGATGCATACAAATAGGCTCACAAAATCAATATTTATTTAAGTGATATATATGTATATGAATAAAACAAATATATTTAAATAATTCAATCAATATATGAAGTGCTGAAAATATATTTAAAGGTGAATTAAAATATGGAAATGAAATTAAATATACAAATATAATGAAGAATAAAATATAGGGCCAAATAATTATTATCAGTTTATTTTATTTTTTAAATCAAATTAAAATCTAGTCTTGTAATGGCATAAAATTCTCAATTAATCTTTATAATCTTAGAATATTACTATGATATTTGTTGGCCTTGTTATTCAATTATTATCATTATCATCTTCATCAGTTTCGTCTTCCTCTTCGACAAACTAAACTAAAATTGGTGTAGAAAAGCAAACGAATTGCATAAAATTCGAAACGATATGCAAAAAATCTGCTATGGGCCATGGTTCGAGGGCCGTGGCTAAATGATTTGATCCGTGTTTGTGCCCCAATTAAAAGGGCGCATGAATTTGAGTTTGACAACTCGTACGTCAATTTAATTGCTGTGTCCCTTTTGATGGGCGACGCGACGATGAGCGTCACCGGCGTCAGTCAATTTAAGTGGAACGGGGCGCGGGAACGGGGTGCAGCGGTGCTCAGTGCGGCGGATATGTTTTGCCCATACACGACTCTCAGTCAGCCAGAATGAGAGACCTGCCCGAGGCACTCGTCTGTACCAGAAATCAGCAATCATTCCATTTTTGCCTATTTTATGCCTGTCAGTGGCAGAGTGTGTGGCCCCACGTGTGTCTGTGTGACAATGTGTGTGTGTGGGTGTGTGACATGTAGCTGTGGCACAAAAAGTAGAAGCAGAGTTGGCGTCCGCCGTAATTGACAAAAGGTTTCATGCATCCAATGCCATTGCCAGTGCCGTATCGGCGAGTCCTGCCTATCGCCTTTGCGCCGCTGACAAATAGACGCACGAGTGCCTGCATGACATTCGCTCACACACACACACTCACACAGCCAGAGGCAATACACACACACACACACACAGCGAGAGAGTAACACTCATACATCTGGGACTCAGTGCAATCGACACGGGAAAATTGAAGGCGCGTTGAAAAGATCAAAGCCATTCAATTGTCAGTGACAAAAGCTGGAGACTTCGCCGCTTCAACTGGAATGAGAGGCTGGGCTGGCAACTGGGCGGACTTGGGCGAAGGCGTGGCACCAAAGCGGGCTATCGCCATTCGGTTGAACGACAGGAGCAGTGTGTGATTTGTCAAAGCCAAACACAAATTTTGTCCTGCCCTTCGGCCAGCTGGCACTCAGACAATTTTCAGAGGCTTTGCTTGGGCTCTTTTTTGGAAAATGAACTGCAGCCAGATTCGACAACAATGCTGCCAATTCTATAGAGGAGAAACACACTTCGAGCTCGGGAATAAACTACGACTCAAATTGAAGATTTGGGAACTAATGTAAAACAGCTCAACACAAGGAAACATGCGTAATACTGGGAGTTTCTAAATAAATTGAAGCGAGCAGTAAAGTCTGAGTCGGTGCTCGACTCGGAGATACCGTGTATTCTTCCTGCTGCTGTCTTTCTCATGCAATTCCGGAAAAAATTTGACAAATTAGAAATTATTCAAGCTAAGACTTTGAATGGGCTCAGGAATAAAATTATATTGTATTAATAAAATCATTTAAAAGCAAAATAAAATATATCAAATGAACTTTTTAGTATATGTTAAGTTGACAGTGTTCATTCATAGTGTTGAAATTTGTATACACAGACACGAAATTCGAAAACAATATTCAATTCTCTGACGGGTTGAAGGTGAGCGCATTGGGCACAGGATGTGAAATGCATTTCGTAGGATCTTTTCAAATGTATCCTCTTTGATTTCAGTTAGCGAATTGAAGATGTGCAGCCCTTGCTGTGGACCTTGCTGTGGACCGTGCGGTTGCGGACCTTGCTGCGGATCCTGCTGTTGCGGACCCTGCTGCGGCCCGTGCTGTGGACCCTGTTGTGGTCCATGCGGAGGCTGCGGCAGTTGCTGTGGCGGTTGCTGTGGGCCATGCTGCAGCCCCTGCTGCAGTCCGTGCTGTGGACCTTGCTGCGGACCATGCTGCGGACCATGCTGCGGGCCCCCATGCTGTCCGTGCTGTGGACCCTGCTGCGGTCCTTGTTGCGGTCCTGGTTGCGGTCCTTGCTGTGGTCCTTGTTGTGGTCCTTGTTGTGGTCCCTCTTGCGGCCCATGTTGCCCCAAATACTGAAACTGGACATAAGTCTTCCACTTAGCCACCCAAATACGAATGGCTGCCACAATTATTACCATAAGTTCGATCTAACCCGTTAGAGAATTGATATTAAACATCCACACTTCGAATAATAACAAGGGATAGACTGTGTAAGCTTTGTTAAGAATGTTAAGAGTGCTGAACAAAGTACAACTGGATAAGCAAGAGAAGAAAATGGGAAAAGAGCGAGTTATGCTTTAGGAATGCAGAGCTAGGCAAGTATTCCTATAAATCGATGTTGTCTTGGAGAGAAAAATACGGGCGAGGCTCACTGTGTGTGTGAGAAAGAGAGAGAAAGTGAGATAGAGTTATAGAGCGAGGGAGTGAAAGATGCAGTGATAGAGCGAGAGATAAAGGGCGAGGGTAAAGAGTGAGAGACAGACGAGAGAGAGCGGGAGGTAGATAGAAATAACGAAAGTGAGTAAATAGAGAGTCAGAGAGAGAGAGAGAGAGAGAGAGAGAGAGAGAGAGAGAGAGAGAGTGAGAGGGAACTGGAGCAAAAGCTAGGGAGGTAAAGAC